TACTCTGGGAATTGTTTGATTTTACCACTGGGGAATACTGAATAGATTTTGTTCTCTCATTTACATGAACCAACAGCTTCTCTTCACTGAAAACACTGCAGAAAAGCTTCTTGGTTTGATGGATAGCCAGGTGAGTTTTGTAAACATTTTTAAGATTAGAATAACCAAAGGGTTTTTTTTGTTGTTTGCTCTTTTTTTTTTTTAATAGTAGAGCACACTCTGGAAACAAACTGCCCCAGAGCTAACAACATTCAGTTATTACTTTACTAGCTAAGAAATCATTGAAATCTCAAAAGCTAGAGACCTATGGCTTTTATTCTGCCTCACATAAAAATCTGGCAAGCATGCAATCATTTGGAAACAGATTTATTACATTTTGATTAATCCTGCTCTATCTTTTGCAATTTCCATCTCCAAGTAGGCACATTCTAGTAAGTGGAAAGAGGAAGACCAACTATTTGTGTGGAGAAAGAAAGGAGGAGAAATGTAAGGTATTTCATGAAGCTTTTTTTTTTTTCTTTAAAAAGAAAAAAGACGAAAAGCTATTATCTACAGCATATTGTCTCTTTCAGCAAATAAAATAAAAAGGTAGCACCTGAATAAATGATTTCCTCTACACCTTTTACAGATCAGGAACCAGGACTATTCTCAAGGGGAGAACTTCGTACCAAATCCAGGAATGACAGTTTCCAGTAGAAAGAATTAGTATGCAGACTGGGGGTTTGGAAAGCTCAACATACAAAGTATGAAGCAGCTCCCCCCCCCGCCCACCCACCCAGGAACCTCGGCTCTGCAAGTGCCCACAGTAGAAAACTCCCATCCACCAAGAAGCTAATGATCAGTCCATTTCATTATGTCCCCACCCATATCCTGTGCCAAATATATAAAACAATTTCCTATTTTGTTTTTCTCAATGTTGTCATTAGTATTCTTTATGAACAAGTATCTGTCTCTGGTACATTAGCATGCCACAAGCTGTAGCATCTTGAATAGGAGTTTTGCATGAAATCTACCTTGAGTCTGACAGCCGGAGGGATGCCAACCACAGTAGGAACAGGGAGAAACCCATCAGATTGACAATCTTACCCTAAGAAAGCCAAATGCTTAAAATCCTATGTTCAATACACTTAACTTATTAAAAGAGCATCTCTGCATGATTTCTAAGAAATGTACCATGTCACTCAAATAAACCACCTGAAAGCAGAAAGCAGATCTGATAATACTTAGTGATTCTATGACAGACAGCTAACTGATACTTTGTCTAATTGTTATATTGTAAATGATAAATCTAAAGAAACACCAAACCCAACCTTTTACACATCTTTGTTTGCTTTTTAATAACCCAAATTTACCAACAGAGTGAGTCACTACAGAAAAGAGAGTGGAAGCCTAACGCTCTGTGTAGCCACTTGTTACTTGTAATTAACTGTGCTGTGTAATATCTAAAGTAAATCCGTCTTTGGAGAGGGAGAAGAGACTGAAATGATGTTGGCAAATAAAGCTAAAATAAACCAACAAAAATAAAATAAAAAGGAGTGTATTCAATTACATAAAATTAGTAAATATGCTCCCACACATATGGGGAAAAATGAACATATGATTAAACTAATAGGATTATGCAAAAGAAGCTTCTAATAATAGGCCTGTAATTAATCTTTTTTAGTCTTGGGGCTTGCCTATAATCATTCTTCATGTTCCTAATTTAATTTGGGCAAAACCTAATTCTATTCAAAGGACACATCTTACAACAAGCCTCCAATTTGTGAGGACTCCTGCTCCTAATCGAGTTATGGTTCGGCAGATGGTACAGACTCCACTCCTCTTCCATGCCTAGCCCTGCTCCACGCTCCATTTTATTGACAAAAACAGGCAAAACGTTTACTGGGACCATTAAAACACAATTCACTGGATGTGCTAAATGGCAAAAGATTAAATAGAACTAAAGAGAATTTCTCAGAAAACCTTATGCCTTCTGAAAGTTATCGGTATGATAATTAGTCCAGTAATACTTCCCTCTATTCCCAACTTTCTTTGTCTAGTAATATTTCCCTCTGTTCCCTAGATATTTTTATTTTCCAGAGGTTTTAAGGTGATTTTTTTGAAGACAAAGAAAAATAAGCTTTCCTACTGAATAACACCTGCAGTATGAAAACACATTATGCAGCATTTTAGTCTGTGTGAACATGTGTATATCACAACATGCACAATCTATTAACTGAAGAGTGGGCATCAGCAATGCAAGAAATTAGAAGGATGCCTATTTCACTTTAAAACAAGAGTGCTGTCATTATATATGTATACTATATATATATATATATATATATATATAAAAGGCAGTCTAGGGAAAACCATATCTCAATCCCCAAATCAGTGCTGATGGAGCTGAGGTGCAAAATCTGTTTGTACTCTGCTCATCTCAAACATATGAAGTCAGGCTCAATAATTCAATTTATTTTTTTTATACTACTCATACGGACATACATAATCTGACCCTGAGACAACATACCGATATGCTTCTAAAGCATGTTTCTGTTTCATCGTGTATTATTTCAATCCTCTCTGATATTCACTTTTCTTTACGGACATACCATTGCCCTTCCACACTGTTATCTGCTTGCACAGTCTGGCAAAGTAAAATCAGACAGAAGTTCTGCAGATTTAATAAGAATGCTTATAAAGTGTCACCAGCTTCAGTGACTCTGGGGATTAGATGTATTTAGAAATGCTATGTAATCTTCAGTGTTCTGCAAGTAACCATGGTTTGGGATTAAAATACATAAAAACTTGTCATGACTCTGATATACTTAATAACTGCTTAGTGACATCTCATTTAGAGAAAGGATTCATTAGCCTCAAAATGCTATTGTTTTGGGTTTTATTTGGTAGCAGCAGTACGAGATGTTAGGTTGAGTTGGTGCTTTCTTTATGGATGCAGATTTTAAGAGTTACTGTCTGAATAGACTCTGATCTCAGTAGATTTAAATTTGTCAAAACGTGGTATTGGGGGAAAATATTGAAAAAACATTAAATGGTTTTGCATACTGGAAGAGCACAAAACATGACTGCAAACGACTTTTGCGCTGTATCAGCTCCCTAAATAAGAGAGGCCCTACATTAAAATGACTAGATTTTGTCTGCTAAGCATCCTCAAAACAGAGCCAATCCTTAGGTGTACTGTGGAAAATCGAAGTGAACTAGATATTTTTATGCAAGAATGAATATTAAGTACTGAGCAGGTGCAGTGGTTAATTTTCATAACGTTCTTGGTTATGCAGCAAATATAGCATTGCAAGTTTCATTACAAGGTAAAATAGATTGTAACAAATTTTGTTTTGACATCAACTGCCATTCAAGTGAATGTAAAAGCACCATCATTTATTTTAATGACAGCTGGCTTAAAAACACATGCAAATAAGACAATATTACATAAAGGAAAAAAAAAAGTCAATCAAATCATGCTACATAAATAAAATGCTAAAAATACTGATGCTATGGTCCTCATCATGCTTGAGCATCAAACAACAGATAATGAGTAAATGAAGTCAGAAAAAAATAAACAACATGCGTCTGTTAAATTTATACCTAATGCATTTGCAGTTCCATCAAAAGAGAGCTAATGCTGAAAGTAGCTGAGGGAAGGAAACAGTGGCAAAGCCCACTGAAATTTCCAGGTACCCAAAGAAAGCAAGCCGCTCAGGGATTTTTGCTCCAGCAGATGCCTCCAAACAACTGGAGGTTCTGAAACAATAGTTTTTCATCTGCTCAATTCTCCATCCATCAACTTCTCATACATTACCCAAACCACTGATACATGCATACCACAAAAAGGAGGATGTCTTTGCTCTGATCAGGAGCTGGACTAAACCATTCCATTAATTAAATAGAACAAACACACATTTTGTCTTCTATGCTCATAAATTTCCTCAAACATCCTCACTTTAAATGTTGACTGAATTGCAAATGAAGACTCGGGGAGAAGGGAAATTGTCATATTTTCCTATCTATGTATTTCCAAGCATTTTTACAATTTCATGTAAATAACAGCATCATTGTATAAAACAGTGCAACTGAAATGTAATTAATTTTGATACCTGTAATCGCAACCTGTAATTATCATGTAACTGGAGAACTATAATCAAGGAGCATAGCCCAATTTCATATTTGATGCGTTTCACAGCAAGAACTCCGTGGTTGTGCATCTAAATAGGAGAAAATTCTACATGACAGAAGATTAGCTATACAACGAGTACACTTTTAAAAGTCATTGTAATTAGAGATGCTAAACAAATAGCTCTACCGAATAAAGAGAAGGGGGAAAAAAAGTGTTTTGCCAGTCTTGAAATATCTAGCTTTTGACATTTTCACACCTTTTAACTCTAATTGTGATGCAAGTATGTAAGATACATTACAGACATTACAGAAACATCTTTTATAGATCTGTTTTAGACACTTTGAACTCTTTATACTCTCATGATTCCACAACAGCAAAGTGGAATTTCAATTATTTATAACTTAATGACCCATATATCACCCTAATTCTGAAAGTTAATATTCACAGGTAGAGAGCCCTTTTGGTGTCAGTGGAACTGTGAGCACATAGGAAAAGGAATTCTTAAAATGTTCTGAAACAAGTAAGCACCAAACTATTTGATATCCATTTATACAAACACAAAGCAGAGACTTAGTGTCTTCAGTGCTGCTGCCAGTTAGAAAGGAGTTCATCAATATCAAAAGTCCTATAACAGACAACTGCACCTAAATCTTATTTCAAAAAGCATATTATGGTGTTGGTTTGGTGGTGTTTCATTGAAGTGTTTTTTTTTTTGTTGTTGTTGTTGTTGTTTGTTTATTTTTAGTTTGTTTCAGTTTGCATTTCTGCCCAATTTCTTCACCCAAGTCTCTGGATCTTGCACTAACAATTTTTCTAATTTATTAGAAAAAAACACTTCATTTATTGGCAATGAAATCTGGATTGTACAAAAAGCATCATAAGTACTTACGAATTTTCCTTCTTCCTTCAACAGTGCGGATGATCTGCTAGGAATCTTCATTCAACGGAGAGTAAAAAATAAATCTGTAAATTTCAGAAGTCATTAGAAAATTAAGCTTTAAATAATAATTGATCCCACCCACAACAGAAATCTAGATAAAGAGCAAGAGCTTTAAACAAATTTTACCCAGACTTCTGGTAGTGATTCAACTATGTTTAACACATATTAAACATGAGACAAGACAATATTAAAATTAGGCACCGTCACATCACTGAGATAAAAAAGTTTTGTAATAAAGAGGGATTTTTATTTTTTTTTTTAGAGTGAGAAATAACAGTTCAGACTTTACAGTGTTGACTTTTGCCTCTAACAGTGTGACATTATGTGTACTATATGCTGTGTCATTTTTTCTAATATATGTGTAGCACACACACAGGCCAAAGGAAAATGTGGCTTTACAGGCTGTAACAGCACTCCTCCTAAGAAAGAGAGCATGCTCTTGTAATAAAGGACTGTCAGAAGGAATAGTGATATCTGTGACAAAGCATGGATGCAGTCTTTTGAATCATATAGGTAAACTTCTCTTTGTGTTACCTAAGTACTGTTCTATGTATGCAATTATTATAATACATATAGAATGAGTCTAAAAAAAAAGGATTCTATTTATGCTGTCAGAAAAGACTTGATTAGATGAAAATTTTTACAGACTTGCATCCACAATATTTCTACCTATCTCATACAAGGAGCTAAAATTTTTTCTTTTGCCCTACCTTGTAAATCCAGTCTGATGTTTCACATACCAACACAAACACTGAGAACTGAGTCGACAGAACCAGGGCAACTTTTGAGGCTATAGCAATATTTACTTTGGGATATCCCAGCAACACTGTAGCAACAAAGCTAAAATAATGTAGAAAAGTTGAATATGAAGCCATATAAGAGAGTTAGATGATCATATTTAATATTAATAATGATCATGCATTTTCTCATACCCACACACTTGTGAGCACCAACGCACACACACTGAAGTAATCTGCCTGTTACCACTTACATTGTCACGGAGCAGAAGAGATACCACCTACTAAGATTTCACATCTCCAGGGCTGTTCTTGTGAAGGAGGTGAAATACGGTTGTGCTTTTCACAACTCTGGGGAGTTGACAGTGATTCTGACCTTTATACCCTCCATTCTGTGCCACTCCTAAGGGAATAAGAAAATATCACTGATTTACTCACTGTCTTTTCTCTCTTTATTCATCTGATTGTTGCAGTCCTGGTCTTTTCTTTCCCCTCCATCCCCAATCCTAACAGCTTTTGTCTGTGCATTATTTCACCACTGCTTGTTTTCCTATTCTTGGGTCTTGGAAACCTTTATGCAACTGTGCTGTGATCTTGTTGATCCTTTAAGTGCCATCAAACCTCACTTCATCTATCCTTCTGTAATTTCTTCTTCTGATGCTTCCACACCCTTATATTCGTATTTCATTCACACAAATCTTATAATTTATAATACAGATTTCTATGATGTGTTTTCACAAGAGCCCAGCACTTAACTTCAGACTAAACTGTTTCCTTCTGGATTAAACTGCTCCTAGAGAGGACTGAAAAGTAGATGCAGAGTCAGATCAAAGAAAAAGTGATCTCTCAATCCATCCGTGGGATTCGGGCCTACAAAATCATTTGCATACTTCTAATTGTACAAGTTGCCAAGTTCCCCTCTCCACCCCCCCCCCCTTTTTTTTTTTTTTATTAAAGTTCACTTGACTGAACAACAGTGAAAGAAAAAACCTGCAGATGTATCCAAGTTCCTGCCTACACAAACAAGAACTCAATTTGTTCTGGGACTTGGGTGGTTTGTACTGTAATGAACTTTTCCATTACCCTCCTTTTCTGTGATGGTGTAATTATCTTTAGGGATATTCATGTAAAACTGACATTTTATCTGGTGAATAATTTACAGGTTGGCAAAGTTTAAATACATACAAATGCCATGCTTATCATTAATGTCAGTTAGACCAAAATGAACAAGTAGGAGCCTGAGGAGATTAGATGATGTTGTTTCACCACCTCATGCAAGAAAAATCAGTTGGGACTGTCAATACAATACTCTCAAACTCACCTATGCTTCCCAAACTGATCTCAAATATGAGCCATGCATGGATTTATTTTAAAAAGACCGGCAAATAAATTCTTTGGGCTCTATGTGCAGTGCAGTGCCTTGACTGCAATACCTGCCACGCCAAAATACATTTTTAACTCTACATGTTATGATAATAAACATTATTTTAATTAAAAAGTAGAAAACTGAAAGAGACTACCATAAGGGATCTTTCCAGAGGTCATCTGCCACTGCAGTTTCCAGCATCCAGGTAAGTTAGCTGTGCCAGATAATAGGTGAAAATCTCATCTGTCCACTTCACAGGGTTTGGGAGAACACCTACCCTGAGAAAGTGCTGTCTAAAGGCAACGTGCTTTTCAGCGGGTTCTGACCCAGGGAGAATAAAGCAGTCCTATTTAAAAGGATGCTTATTTTCTTCTCATGCTTATTCTTTCTTTGCTAGCTCCAGTCTGGAAGATAGATTCCTATTTTTTTTCACCTGTCACAGAGCAAATATTGATTTGGGAGAGGGAAAAAGGAAGAAGCAGAGGTCAAGACTAGAAAATGATGGATTGTTATGAGCTAGAGTACAGGCACTCTCCCAAGCAACCTTAGATCTGTCTGAAAAGACCAGGAAGTGTGAAAGATGAAGATCAAAGGTGACATTTTGATACTGATCAAAATGGAAAAGATCAAGGATTAGATAATACTTCACAAAGATGAGCTGACTGAAAATAATTTGTACAATCTCCAGGTACTACAAATTTACTTAGAATAATAAAAAATACATTAAAAACTGCAAAACATGCCTTTATTGAGTTACAGCTTACTAAAATAAACCTCAGGCTATAATGTGAGAAGGCCATGGATTTGATCTACCCTGCATATCTCTTATAGTCAATCTAATACCTCCATACTTGTCTCCAGAACAGTTAACCATTTTACTGAAATCTCACACAACAGAGCTTCTTCTGTAGTAAAAACAGCAAGAACAACAACAACAAAAACACAAGCAAAAGGATTAACAGAGAAGAAATCTTTGCACAAATCCTACTTCATATGTGTCTTGGGAACCTGATGGATGGATGGGGGAAACAGCTAATCATTATGAGACCTAATGACTGAAGATAAACTGCTCTTTTTAAGAACTCCCTCTATTCCCATTTCTCCCAATGAATCCAGACCAAACATAATGAAAAGATTTCTGTTACATCCATAGGAGGGATTAAACAGTCATAAGTTTTTAATAACACGCTGTCTGGAATGCTAATTATGAAGTTCTTTTTACAAATAATTTTCTATTGGGTCTTAGGTCCTTGAGCTAAAGCCCATAACTTCTATCAGTATTAATGACAATTATACATTCAGATCCATAGAGATCAGAGAAGTAACCCAGAGATCCTAATATTCCCAGTCTTGTTTAACTGTATTAATTTTCAACTTGATTTTTAGCTGGCACTATATGACAAGGATATATACACATTTTCACTCCACTCTAAAATGCACATAAATGAGGATGATGACATATACAGAGTAATTTTTATTAGCACTTGTATTAATTCGTTAAATAAATTAAAGCCAGGTTTGACATTCTTAAAAGACAGCAAACTTAGATCTAAGTAGGGGAGTTGAGGCTAAAGCTACTTGTGTGACCAAAGGGTGGAGAACATTGATGAAATGCAACTATTGTGAACCATAGGGTCACAGAAAGGAACGTTGGGATGCAAAGCCACCTTCACCTTTGTAGCTGTACCAGTAAGATTCCCTAAGATCATCAGAAACACTGAGTTTGAGCATTAATATATCAAAATTCAGGCTGATAAGGACAAAGAAAAACCCGCCAGACTCTGAAGTACTTGGTGTGGGCAGGTGGGGTAAGACACATTTGCAAGGAAGAGTAGGCTCATAGCTTGGTTCTAAGCATGGTAGGAAAGGAAACAGAATGGCAATTTAATAGTACTCATGTATGTCATTTATATGATTTCTTTTCAGAAATTTAATTGTGCATCAATACTGCTAATAATAGGCATCTGTTTAATAGTCTATTAAGGTGGCATTAACTTCTTACAAGTGTTGCTTAAAAAATATTCATAACCATCTTTTTCAGTTACATTGTAAGTCTCCTATCTAGAAGTGGAAAGCCAGACTTGAAGAGTACCAAAATTACAGTGAGTTCACTCCAAATTTTTAAATGAAGTCCATCAGCTACACTACATTACATTGTGCAATGGAGTCAAGAAAGAACCACTGAAATATAAAACATGCTTTTGCTGAGGAATAGGCTTTTAAAGATACAGTTATAGGAAGATATTCTGCCAGTAAGTCAGTCTGCTTATGTGTCTGATTTTTTTAAATAAAAAAAAAGAGAAAACAACTAGAGAAAAGAGGAGTGGTAGGAAAAACAAAACAAAACAAATAAACAAAAAACAACAACATTAATAACAAGAGTGAGTCATACTTTAGTATCTGTCTAATTTTAAGGAGAAAAAAGACTTAGAGCTTAGATCCTACTTACTCCTATACTGGTAACAACCTAAAAGATATAGCCACCAAAAAACAAAGCCAAAACCAACCAACCAAACAAAAAAGCACAAAACAGATTGCTTGAGGTCAAATGGAAACAAAGAATTTGAAATGTTGTCAAGTATGAGTGAAGAAAAATTTCATCCAAAGGCTGAATTTTCAGATCAGAATCTGTCTTAGAAGTTCCTGATTTCAAAATCAGTGAATTTTTGTTGTTGTTGTGAAAGATCCCATCATCCCCTCAAATACAGATGGATTCTCCAGAGTCACCCACAGATTTCAGCATGACTACAGTGAAATTATTTAAAAGTCAATGAAATTATTTAAAAGTCAATTCCGAAGACCTATACTTTAGACCTACAAACAGCAGGTACAAGCCCAGTTTATTATCCAGAAACATAACCTGACACCTTCAGAACAAACTCCCCCTATTCCCACACCTTGCAGCTCTGAACGACTTTCATTGTCCAGCCCTTCTGTCACTTCTCTTTTCCCTGCCAGCTGCCAAGACTTCCAGAAATTGCCCAAGTTCAAGAAATATCAGCTCTGAATTCAACTACATGCATTAAGTTTAGCAGTTGGTTGCCTTCTCTCCAATTATGTATTCCTCATAATATAGATTAGGAAACCTTTGAGGAAACTAAATCCATTCTAGGATGTTTGTTGGCAAACTTAGAAAAACAGGAGATTTTTTCTGCCATTATTTTTCTTCCATGTCAAACAATTTTCTTATGGGTTGACCTCATTTAGACCTTCAAAGCAATAAGAAAACAACAAAAAATGACAGATTTTCCTTTTTGGGGAGGAACAAAAATTCACAAAGTTGCTTTTCAGGATTTCATTTCTACAGAAACACACAGAAAACCACAATCTTGATAATTTCCTGAATGCTTTAATTTTAATTAATTTAGTTTTTAATTTGACCAGACTGAAATACTCCATACATTTGAAGATCTCTAAGTCCTAGTCTGAATAAGTTATTAGAAGATATCATGCTGTGCTATATCAAGCTCTTCATATTCCTCTCTAGAGCTGAAAGTTTTTTTACTTGTCTGCCGCACAAAAATCAGTGCTTTTCCAAGTGAAATTAGCTCAAAATGACATACCATGAGCATAAAGAACAGCTTAAAATTCGGGGACTGGAATTCTATTAGTGAAGCTTTTATGCTTCTTTATCTATCTATTTTTTCCTCCAGAAAATTACCATGGATGCCTATTTTTATCCTATATCTTCATAGGAATCTATTTCAAAGAATTATAATTTATCAACAATTTTCTTCTGCATGTGGAATACCGAAGGCTGTATTCTTACATTTTACTGAAAGTATTGAAGCAAAGCTCCTCAAGTCAAGCCCACATTGCTTGATGTTCAAATGGAGCTGCAGCTTTTTATGCTACCTAAAAGAAAGGTAATGGCAAAAATTCATTGTAACATCTCAAACACAAAGAAATGTTGTTATATTGCCACAACAATTTAATAAAGATAAGCCCAAGAAAATATATATAAGATAATGTTTAAGAAAGACTACGCATTTAAGCCCCACTGAAGCAAATAGAATAAAAGTCTCCTCCAGCCACAC